ATGACGTCATTTAGAATTTGCAACCAAATAAAAGATGATTTTTGTGTGGGACTCAAAGATTGTTAAACATTGAAAGAAATTAGTAAAAGATTGTGAGACCCATTACAAGTAGATTTTTTCTTTAGTCTGCTTAGGGCCTGCTTGGATTAGGCATATGATGAGGCGAGGGTATATTTGAATTGCTATGTTTTTACTAAGTTTGTGGACTTGTTTGCATTTGGTAACAAATGCTGATATTCTATGTTCAATTTTTAGGAATGTTTGGCCCATGGTATCAAAAACCTTTTTTTCTTTCTCTCTATCTTTTTTTTTTTTTTTCTATTTTTCAATTTTTTTGTATGGGGAGGGAAAGGGAGCGGGAGCGGGACTTGAATCTTTGAAATCAAGAATACAGAGCATTCACAAGATAAAAAGTATCATTAGACCAAAGATTTAATGGTCTATAATATCAAAAACTAGTACACTGTTTAAATTATGAATCTAGGATCTTTCAAATATTTTTATTTTTATGTTTACAATTTTTATTTTGTCAATTTCAAAAATAATGAAATACTATTTTGGGATGATTGATTATAATTTTGTCAATTTTTTTTTGGTTATTTTAAACCCAATTTATTTCAATTGATTTTCAAACTACTATACCAGATATTTTGTTCGAATTAAGGAGGAATGAACGAAAATATTCCAAGGAAAAGAAATGAAGACGGTTGTTGGTTTTCAATAATTTTGCCAAATACGGTTTTGTATTGGATTGGATTGGATACATGGGTGGAAGTTTTATCACTTTCAATTTAATATCCTACACTACTATCAAATCCGAACATGATTTGATATTACAAGTATATATTTATGTCTTGTCCTAATTTTGATCTAAACTTAGTATACAAAGAATATGATCAAATAGTATTCTTATTAATATCTTTTGTATAGATAAGATGAAAACACAATTATGTTACACTATTCTTTACTTTATATCCGAACCAAACATGGTCTTTAGTTTTTGTTTTGTAAAAAAATTAGGATTTTTTATTTTATTTTATTTAGAATTGAGGCACATTAGAAAAGACTATTTTTTTATCGAGATCTAAGCGAGAAAGTTTGCCTTTGGGTGGGGGCCAAACACTGTCTGGGACATGCCTTTTCCTGTCTACTAATTGATCTAGTCGGTCAATTATCTATAGACGGCGCAAATTCAAAGGCCAACCACCTATAAATTTGGGAACTCAAACCCAAATGGAATAGAAGTGCTACTTGTGGCGGTAATGGAAGCAGACAACTCTATCCAACTTAAACAAGGTCTCTTAAAACCAAATAGAAAACAAGGGACTCCTCCGCTATTTACATAGAGAAAGTGCCGTGATAGCTAGGTGTAAGTTGTGTTAACACAAATTCTTCAGCTTAGTAATTGCTCATTATCTGTTATTGAATTTACGTGTTGATGTTGAAGTTTGACTTAAACTCTCTAAGTATTTTATTTTTTATTAGTGTTTTTAAGATTTTAGGAGTTCTTGTCTTCATGGATAGTTACTCTAGATACGTAGATTTGTACTTGCATCAATAAACACAGTATCTGAAGAGAAATTCAAGCTCTTTGATTTGGGCTAATTGTTCCTTGTTTTGTAGTGTTTGTTCATGATTTTTATTTGCTTGATGGTCCGAAAATTCAATTTTTTCAACTCCTGATTAATATTGTATTTATTGAAATCTGGTTTACATAGAGAGATCATCACGTCATCCATCAACATAGTATTTGACGGTGGGAAGATAAAGAAATTCAAGTCCTTTAATTTGGACAATCGTGATTTTCCTCTGAAACGAGATGAGAAAGCTGAAAAATAGTAAGTTTTTATTGCCTAATATTTTAACCTATGATGCTAAGAAATTAATATTCTTTTTTTTCCAAAAAAAAAAATTGTGAGTGCGTGTGTTCACACACTTTCTTCCGAAATCCAAGAATCGCATTTGGTGAATAGTCTAGTGGGTGTATATATAATCTGTTGAGTTCTAGCCCAAAAGTACCAGAACTCGTGGATTTTTGGTTCCTATGTTATGACCTTTTGAATTAACTTGTTTCCTTGTTTCTCCAGAACCTTCTCTTCATGAGAGTGCTGATTCTATGAGTTTAAAGGGGGGAACTAGGATTCCTGCAAAAGGAGCTAGGACAATGAATCAATTTCTGGATGACTTATTCGAGAAAAGGTGTTTCTGTCTTTGTCAAATCAGTTAGGCATTAATGGGTTATTTTGTTGTTCATTTGGAATTCCGTCTTTTAGCAAAGTACGTTTGAAAATATTGATTTTTGCTGGGTGTTAATGTTTTTGTAGGGGATCGACAAGGGAGAATGCATTGTCTTCAATTATTGAGGAATTTACCATCAACTACCATTATCAATTTGCTAAAAACAAGTAATCAGTTCTGTTCTAATTTGAAATGTCTTTGCATCTCATGCTTGTTAATATATACTTCTAGAGTTTCTGGTTGCAAATTCAACTTTTTTCTGATGAGTTGTGGTTGGATGCATTCATGCAAGTTAAGTGTTTTCATATGATGGAATAAAAACATCTGAAATATATCTAGTTTCTTTCTTCTTGTTTTCGATCGGCACATTCAACTGCTTGCAAAATTGCATTTCACTAATACACCAGCAAGATTTAATTTTTGGAAATTGTTTAGTATCATTAGAACTATGTGCATCCACACTATTTGGTGTCTTTCCATGGTTGTGATGGCAAATATAATGCTAAAGTGGGTGAAAAAAAGCGCAAAACAGAGTTCTAAATCAAGTACACAACCTAGAGGAGGAGAAGAAAGAGGATGTGAAGTTCTTTCACATTTGTTTTATCAAAGAGTGAATACTCCGAAGATACAACCCCATTTTTTTTCCGTTTTATATAAAAGCACACTATCTCTTCTACAATATCATTAAGTACAATTTTGACTAACTTTACCACACAGGGGTAAAGAGAATACAATAAAATTCATATTAAAACTTACGTAAGGTATGCTGGGCGAAGAGTGATGCTTCGGTAACAAGAGTAGTTTTCGAAGTCAATTTGAAAAAGAGCAATATTACATAGACTTAAAAATTAGACTTGATAATCTCAACCATTGATTTTATGTAGGTCCTAATATTTATTGAGACACACTACCTATTCAATGGTTGAGATTATCAAGTCTACTTTTTAAGTCCATGTAACATTACTCTTTCAAAAATAATTATTGGTTTTCCCAATAGTCCACGTGAGCATCCATGACTATGCCATCGCTGTCATTTTAGAATTGCACCGAACTCCTTTAGAATAATTTCTCCAATTATTACTTGTGTCCTTTTCATGTTTCATGCTAACAAGTAACATCAGCTATTACCATACTATCTAATATGCTAATTGTTTTTTTCTATTCCCTCTTCCCCCCACAGATGCGCATGCTGGTAGTCATGTAACTATATGTATACAAGAAGTTTCATTTGTCTATTGAACATGATTGCATTGGTCTTTTAATTGGTTTTCATATTGTGATTCCTTGTTGCAGTTTTGCTACCGTACTTTATCGATGCCTAAATTCCGTTGAAAAGGGGTCATCCAAAGAGATTGGCTTAGCTTCTCATGCCCTTGGTAAGTTTTATTTTGTTTTTTCCCATGTATGTCACATCTTTCTCATACTCTTCCATCAAACTTAGTATAGCTTATGTCTCTGACATTTTTATGCAAGATTGTTGGCAATTACAATTGGTTGTGGGGAAAATGCTTGTGAATTATACAGAGTGGCAATTCATCCACTTTCACAAGCTCTCAATTCCTCTCCAAAATCTATATTACCATCTGTATGTATAATATATTTTTTATTTTTGTTGTCATTGATTTATGTTTTATTTAGCAGATCAATTTCATATTCTATATTATGATTTCCTGTGGTAGATCTTGGAATGTTTGGCTATTGTTACTTTTGTTGGTCGAAGTAATGTTGTGGAGACTCAAAGAACTATGCAAATTATTTGGCACTTCATTCATTCAGAATTAGGCTTCAGAGTACGTATTCTTATGCCCCTTTTTTCTAAAATTTGTTTGATCTTTGCGTAGCGTACATCCATTTTATGGGCTCTTATTAAATAGTAATGCTTGTAATTTCGAGTATCTCATAAGGTTCACCAACAGAATTCGAACAATTAAGTAGAGAATGCTTGACAATAGCCACTTAGGAATTTTAATTTCAAGTATTTGCTCCGGCCTCTTTTATCAAATTTGATGTTAGGCTTTTATCCTATGACTTTTCAATTTCCTTAATCATCTACTTGCAAGGTATCAATTTTGTGATTAATATGGGCTTTAAACTTCTAACACTTTTCAAAATAAAAATGTCATTGTGGCGGTAATGGAGCAATCTTTGATTAGTGCATGTATGTGTTTTCCACGTGTCAACATGACAAGCAACTAACAAGTTAAACCCTTATCACTTTATCTGGCAACGTGTCAACATGCCTATGTCTTTGGTACGATAATCCATACTGTGGAGTTGGAGGTGCTCAAATAACAAGTGTATATAAATAACAATAAATAATATAAGTGATTTGTTGATAATGATAATTATTATATATGATTGTAACTTCTGTTGACAAAAGTGTGTAATATTTTTGTCCTACTATAACAATTTTATGTGGGGTAAGAGAGTGATATACTATTGCATACATTTTTTTTAAAACAAATTCTCCTTAGTGGATCATCATGAATTCAAGTAAGTCTCAAAATAATAAATGGTGTAACTTGATTTTAAGAATGAAATAAATCAGCCCACTCGATATAAAATTGACATGAAATTTGTGAACAGAAGAGAAGATGAGATCAACTTTTCACGTGTCAACATACGAAGAGAATCTAGATCCTTGTTCTACCGACAAATATGAAGAGGGTAGGTGCACTAAAAGGATATAAAAAAAAAAGTGCATGTGTAATTACTGATACAAAAAATCATTTGTTGAGGCAAATACCCTTTTCATTGCCCAGATGGTTTTTAACATTGGTGAACGAGAGCTGGCTGGATACTTCCCTAGTGCCATGGAGTTCCTATCATGTGCTGTCGAAGAAGGGATGGAAGCACAAATAAAGGACACACTTGGATTCCCTGCTGGAGATTTACCTATGAAGCAGGGCAAAGCTAAAAAATTATTTTTGGGTGGGAACTAAATACTTTAACAAATTTTAAATTTTTTCTCTCGCAGTGGATAAAAGTAATATGATACATTTATGTTTAATTACATCATATTCGATATTCAAAAGTCTACTAAATATAAGGCCAAAAATTGATAAACATACTATACATAATCGAAAAATAACATAAAAAGACTAATTACAAGCTCTTATAATAAATGAAATTATAATGGTCCTGACGAGTTTTCATGTTTTGGAAGTAGAGTGTTAGAGTCACTATTGTTACTTGTTCTTCTTCCTGTGTTTCTCATTTCTCCTCGCCACTATGTACCGAAGTGATGTTTGTGTGGTGAGCCCCAAGGGTGTTGATAAGATGATGAGAGACAATAGTTCTTTCTCATATAGGTTTAGGTTATGGGTGGGCACCACTGAAGTTATATTAAAAAATATGCATAACATATAGGTGATACTAAAAATCATGGTGGGCCAATACCCCTCCTGAGCTAGTACGGGCTCCGCCCTTGCTATCTAGTACCTTGGAGTGCCACGGGTATCTACCAAGCTTATTAAAAGCCCAACACTACATGAGCCTCATTGAAAAAGTTGAAACCAAAGTAAAGTCCACAATTGATAATCTTACTGCTCAGTATGCATGTATTTTTTGTTGGGCTATCCACTTGAGTGTACCATAGAAAGTATTGGATAAACTCGAACAAATTTTGAGGGCTTTCATTTGGAAGGGCATTGAACATAGATATAATAGGGCTAAGGTTGCTTGGAAGGATGTTTTCAAGCCTAAAAGGTAATGGAGGTCATAGAGGAAATTTTCAACTCTATGCCACCTTAATTACCTGACTAGACCAAGAAGATATTGTCAAATGGACTCTAACTGCATATGGGCAGGTCATACCTAGAATGACCTTATGGTTAGCCATGAAAATGAGTTTGAGCACCAAAGATGGAGCCCAGGTGTTCTCAAGTCAAGTTGACACTCAACTCAATGTACGTTGTGATTTTAGTTATAGGTTAACAGTAATGTTACATTGATCAAATTTTAGAATTAAATTTAGAGTTTAAATGACATGACAGCATATTATTTGGAGTTTTTATTGGGGTCCAAAGACCTGGCACTAATAAAGAAGCTCAAATTCACTGTCATGTCATTTATACTCCAAATTTAATCCCAAAATTTCTTCAGGATTGGCCAATTCTACCATCCTTACAATAGTGCCATGTCGTATGATCCCCCTCGGCTCTCATTGGTCCACATCAGCACAATGGTGAATTGGACCAATCAATTGTTGGAACACCACAAGCAAGCATGAACTTGAAGACAGCATATGGAATTTTTTCTGTCACTTAACAATTCAGGCTGATTAATTTTGTGGGTTTGATTGAAGAGCTCTCAAAAGTTTAATCTAAATAATATGGACGGACAATAAATTCAAACGTCTGGAATTCGAAATTTGATAATTTTTTTGAGTTAAGTAATAAGAAATTTATTTATTATAAATACACTAATCCCTGCATGGCGATGGTAGGGGTAGTTGTGGTGGTGGTGGGGCAGTGAGAGTGGGGGTGGTGGGAACGGTGATGGTGGAGCGGTTTCAAACATTACTTTTTTTTAAAATAGTTATAAGAAATTATAAATATTAAAAACACTTTTAAAAAGTCACTTCAAATACATCTTTAGGAACCTATTTTTTCTATTAAATTTTGAGTGTTAATATTAGCTGTCAAATTAATTTTAGAATAAAATTTAAAGATCTCAACCGCGAAAAATAACAGTCATTTTATTTATTTTTTTAAATTTAAATTGTATTGTACTTTATTATATAAACTAGTTATTGTATGTGCCTGAAGGCACGGAGTAATAAAAAATAGTAAACAATAAACATATTTGTATTCATATTCAAAATTAAATCACAAATATAGAGGAAAGATAAATAAATTTAAGTATCAGTTGTAGTGGGGGTAAGAGGTGGTGGACGGCAGTGGTGGTGATAGAAGACGATGATGGTTATGGTGGGTGGCAATGACCGTAGTGGCAGTAATAGTGGCGACAGCAATGGTGAAAGTGGTGGTGGTGGTAATGATGGTGGTGGTGGCTGAGGTAGTAGTGGAGCGGTTTCAAAAACCTTTTTTTTTAAAAATATTTATGATAAATAATTTATAAAAATACTTTTAAAAAATCATTTCAAACACATCCTTAGAGACCTATTTTTTCTATTAAATTTATGGTATTAATATTAACCGTTAGATTAAATTTAAAATAATTTTAACCGTGAATAATAAAAATTATTTTATTTATCTTTTAAGATTTAAATTATAAACTATTTTATTATATAAATATATATAATATATAGGTGAAAATAAAAATCAAAGTGGGCCGATGCCGCTCCTGGGCTAGTACTGGCTCCGCCTTTGCTATCAAGTACATTGGAGTCCCATTGATATCTATCAACCTTCAAGGCCCAACCTTGCATGAGCCTCGTTGAAAAAGTTGAAACCAAAGTAAAGTCTTGATGAATTAAGTAACTATCCTACGAAGGAAGTCTACAACTGGTAATCTCAGTGCTCGATCAGTAGTATGCATGCATTTTGGGCTACCCACTTGAGCTACCACAGAACGTATTGGATAAACTTGAGGGCTTCCATTTGGAAGAGTTCTGAACTCTAAGGGCTAAGGTTGTTTGGAATGATGCTTTCAAGCCCAAAAGTGACGGAGGACTTGGTACATAGTAAAGGCGACAATCGTGTCCTCACGAGTTGTATTTATGTCGTATCGTTTTAACTTCGTGTCGAATATTAATTAATTTTAATTTAACTCGTTTAACTAATCGTATCGCGTCGTATTAAATTATTTATTTTCGTGTGTATTTGTGTCAACCTATATAATCCGTGAATAAAAAATTTTAACGCTCAAATTTATGTTTAAAATTTCATTATCATTTAATAGAATCTACGCTCATACTTATTCAATAAACTAAAAAATTAACTTATCAATAATAAATTATTATATATTTTTAATAAATTATTCTTACCTATCATTTTATTAAAAAAATACTAATTTACGTGTAAGACACGCTAATGTTGTAGTAACTTCCCAATTACATGTGCAAACCATCTCCTACTATCATGTGATTTGTGTAAATCAGTTAAAAAAAAATTTCATAGACCGGGTCTTATTACATGACTTTAGCAGGCGATTAATTCTTTTTTTAGTTTGATCAAAGACATATCATTCGAACTAGGGTATTTACGAGAAATAATATCTCATCACCTAAACTTAAAAAATTATCAAAATTCGAATTAAAGACTTCTAATTTTACAGATCATCCTTGTTTAAAATAGCTCAATATACTTATTAGACGTCCTAGTTTAATTTTCTCACTAATCAAACACTAGTATTAGATTGAAGTTGGGCTCAACATTAGTTTGAATTTATTAATCTAATAATCGTAATAGATTAAATCAATAAATTAAGTCTAAATAATACTAAAATTAAATTGACGATTCTCAATCCAATCGCCAACCATTTGATGATATGAAAATAATCTTTCTGTGATATCACCGCAATTTGAAAATATGCCAAAATAGTTATATATAAAAATTTTCCTCTTTATATATACATATATTTTTTAACAAACTATACTAATATTGTTAGATTATACTAATAGAAATTAAACTTTATTTTTTAACAAACTATACTAATATCATTAGATTATACTAATAAAAATTAAACTCCCCGATTAATCATTTCTAAGTAACGCTGATCAGACTCTTGTCTCTGTAACCTCATTTCATGGTTGAACTTCATTATGAACGCTTCAAATCGTCGATTCAACTCCTCGTGACTCATCGAAGCTTCCCTCCTCAGCCCCCCTCTTCGCTTCGCCGACACCGCATCATTGAACGTCTCCGACTTCCTCAGCTCCCTCCATGCTGACGCCACCGGCGGCGATAACTCTGACTCAAAGCCGCCCGCCACCTCCACACTCGGCGGCGTAACCCATGTCTCACTCTTGTTGAGTTTCTTAGTCTTTGGCTTGCCTCCTCCCTCTGATATTGCCTTCCACGTTGCCTCCAATGTATCATCATCATCATTATCTTCTGTCATTTTCAGCTCGTTAATCTCTCCGGCGGCATTTTTCGAGCCATTCTCCGGCCTCTTTGTTAATGACGACTGCTGGGTTTTCTCCCGTGGAGAGTTAGTGGCTTTTTCAACGCAGTTCTGGTCTTTTATATTGCGCGACCAGTTTTGGTGGGTATGTTTATTTGGGTTGGTGGTGGAAGTGTTTGGTGCTTCACGGTGCTGGGTTTGGTTGATTCGCCGTGGTGGTGGTGGTGGTTCAACCCAGTTCTGGTCTTGCATATCGCGCCAGGTTTGGTGGGTAAGATCAGCTTTCTCTGAGAAACTTGTGGTGGTGGTGGTGGTGTTTGGTGCTTTCCGGTCGTGGATTTCGTTGTTCTGCTTTGGTGGTGGTGGAATACCCTGTGAATTATAATCATCGTCTACGTCAAGCAGGGGGCTATGGCGATTCCGGTGGTGGAAAGTAGAGGAAGCAGCAATGAAGATGATGATGAAATTAAGGATGATGTATATGTATGGCGGAGACAACCAGGTCCTGAATGAGACCCAGAGACTCGGAAGAGTAGACACCACCATCGCCGCCGTGTATGGAATCACCGCCGCCTTGACTAAAAGGAAGGTGGAGATGATTCCGGCGAACATAAGGAGGAGCTCAATCGTCCATATCGCAATCTGCACTCTGCTTTTGGGCATTGAACTTCCCCGTAATAGATTTTCCATGAATATTTGAGAGAAGAGAGGGGGGGGGGGGGGAAGAAAGATTGAACTGAGACTCAGAAAACAATGCTATTCCTATTAAAAAAACAAGAATATGCAATGAAAATGCAGAACAAAGAGAAGGTGATAACAAGTAAAAAGAGAGATGCAATCAAGAACAGAAACTAATGACGATGGAATTAATCAAGATCTCTGAGGTCAAAGTGAGCTTTAAAAATTTTCACAT